GGGCAGCGGCGGGAGCTGCCGGCCCGAGAGCTGCCCGGTGCGCTTGCCTGGGGTCCTAAAAACTCCTGAAAACTAAAAAGATCCTGAACTCGGGGGTTTCTTTAGAAAAACTCACTGTTTGTTTAAAAAAAGAGGAAGTTTGCGTTGAAGTTTTTGGCGAACAGAAACGAGTCGTGGCTCACCTTTTCGGATCCATGTAAAAAATCGTTCAAGGCCTGAGGATCGCTGCAAAACAACACACGAAAGCGTTTAGGGATGCAACACGTGACCCGCCGGAGTCGGGAGCGCAACGCCTGTTTCTAATTAACGCATTAACATAACTTTGAATGCTCCGAAACGCGGTAACTAACGAGGTACGCCGACTGCTGCTGCAGTGGCTACGCTTGGTTACAGCTATGACTTAACGTATAGGTGCTCCGAGAAGATCGGTTTTCTTCTCCTGGGTCGCTGACACTGCCTTATTCCCCTTCCCCGGTAGTTCCGCAAAGCCCCGATTACCAACCGTTTCAGAATATTTGGAAAATTAGCCCGCGCTGGCTGCTGACAGGCAATTTGTCAAAAAAATCATTTGGGCGACCCGCTAACGAGCATCCCCAGCCCGGCGCCGCCGCCGGCCAGCAAGGGTGAGGGTGCAAAAAAAGGCATAGCTGCTGGCCAAACACCAGAGAGGTGGGATTTATTCATAACATAAGCGGGGCAAGCGAGGGGCGGGATGCAGTCTGTCTTTCCTCCCGGAAAGTCGCGTAAAACCTCCTCGGGCACAGCGCCGGAGACGCCCGAGCCCTCCGAGCTTCACCGGGGGAAGCAAACCCCGTACGTCGGGAGGGGTTTATAAGTTTGGGAGGTTCGCAGACCCTTCGGAGCACACCCCGGGTGATTTTTGGCTCTGGAGAAGCCCCGGTGACCGACGGGGATGCGCCTACAGACCGAGGGTGGCAGAAACCCCCTTCCCACCCCTACGCCTTCCCCAGAACGGCGGGAGAGACGCCGAACCACCGCAGCGCCCAGCTCGCGGCGCGGCGCTACTTACCAAATTACATCTAGCAGGCACCGGCCGTCTTCATCATCCATGTCAACTGCAAAGAGCGGAGAGAGACCACGTTACCATTGGGAGAGCAGAGGGGTCGGGAGCCGCTCCGCGCTCCCTCCATCCCAAACATTGCGCTTCGCTTCTCCTCCCCATCCCCAGTGATGATGATGATGATGATGATGCCCTGCTGCCATCTGATGGCGGGGGACAGGCGACCGGAGCGGAGGACGCCCCGAGGCAAGGGGCTGCCGGGCAAAGGGGTGTTGGGGTGCCAAACCCCACGAAGCTCAACAAGGCGCTGCGGGTGGGAAGGGTCGATCCCGCGCACGGGACGGGCTGGGGCCAGCGGCCGAGAGAGCGGCTCTGCAGAGGATGACTCCGGTTCAACATTGGCCAGCAAACGTCCCCGGGGGCCAACGGAGTCTGGAGGGGGATCACAGCCAAAGGGACCGGAGCACCGACGGGCCGGCCCCCCGGGGGGGGGGGGGGGCCGGCCGGCCGGGGGGAACCCCGCCCCGCCCGCCGATATCCTTCTCTGCTGGAGAAGCTGATGGTGGCAAAGCCGCCCGCCTCCACCATCGTTCTTCGGGAATCCAGGGAAACCGCCGCGCCCGCCGATATCCTTCTCTGCTGGAGAAGCTGATGGTGGCAAAGCCGCCCGCCTCCACCATCGTTCCTCCAGCCGGGAAGCCAAAAGCGCGGCCCGCCGAGCCCCGTAACCAGCAGCCGAGGGACTCGCTCATCCCTCCGCCGCGCTCAGCTCTCCGTGGCGGTCGCTCATCCCTCCACCGGCCAGATCGCACAGATCGCCCATCTCTTGAACCCAAAGCGGCAGGTTTTCGCCTTGCTTCCACCCCGCCGAGGGGGACCGGTGACCCCGGCCGGCTCTGCCTGGCGTAGGACCCTCAGCACCGGGAGGCGGCAGGAGCCAGATCCCGGCACCCGCAGGCAGGGTTTGGCAATAACTCGTATTTAAGAATCGCACATTCGTGCCTTTTTACCCCTAAACTTCCACTGTGGCAAAGCGTATCGGGAGGCGCTTTGCTTCGGAAGGTGGAGGTGAGGATTTTCCACCCATAACCTGAGGCCTGGCACCAGGCCACCTCCTCGCGACCCCCTTTTTATGACCAGGTCTGGAAAACGGTGGGGGTTTGGGGTTTTTTTTGGTTGTTTCCCCTCTTTTCCTCAGATCTGCTCCACAGCTGCGGTCTGGGCAGGCTTGGAGGCACACCGGTATGGAACTCCCTAATGAGACTCAGCTAATAAAAATCAAGGAGGAGAAGAGGGGAAAAAAAAAAAAAAAAAAGTCAGCTACCTCAGTAGACCACGAAGAAAAAAACCTGGGGAAGCTGACTGCAGGATAAACACACCTTTAACGGGCTGAAGTTCATGGTTTGGAACAATCCGACTTCAATAGTTGTCTGTCGGCGGTAATTATTTTCAGGACAAGGAAACGAATAATCCGAATAGGCCAGCGAAAGCTCCCAGACTGCTCGGCTAATCGCTCCGGAGAAGAGCGGCACCGCTCCTCGCGCACAGCAAGGCGAGACCGC